CATTTAGCCAGCAATCGATACTCGAATATAGTTTTTTATTTGGATAGATAGTGACTATATAATCAGTGTAGATCACAGGGCATAAATTCAGATGTATATAGGGAACAGGATGTGAGTACAGAGAACCTGACATAATAGCCTTTTATATATATATATATATAAATTAATTTTATTTATTTATTTATTGGCTGCATTAGGTCTTCGTTGCTGCGTGTGGTCTTTCTCTAGTTGTGGCGAGCAGGGGCTACTCTTCGTTGTGGTGCATGGGCTTCTCATTGCAGTGGCTTCTCTTGTTGAAGAGCACAGGCTCTAGGTGCGCAGGCTTCAGTAGTTGTGGCACACAGGCACATGGGCTTAGTTGCTCCGCAGTATGTGGGATCTTCCCAGACCAGGGCTCGAACCCTTGTCCCCTGCATTGGCAGGCAGATTCTTAACCACTGCGCCACCAGGGAAGGCCCATAATTGTCTTTATTTTCTCAAAGGGATATGTCCTCCCTTGTTTTTCTTGAAACATGTGGCTTTTGTGCTCTATTTTTGGTTCTACATTTGATAAAATAGGGATCAAAAATATTTCACTTTCCTCTTATAAAGATTTGTGATAACGCCTGGCAACTGACACTTGGCCTCAGTATCAGAGAGCAGCAGAGTTAGGAGACTGTGACAAACTCAACAGCATGGGCCCCATCTAAAGGGGGTGTTCCCAGCTCAGCTCCAGACAAATGCTGCCGTTGGGAATGGTATTGAATCCCAAATCATCAGATCTTTCAATTTTTCAAGAGAAGGTAGAAGCCTGGAATTTTATGCAAAACCTCCCAATTTAAAAATGTTGCACAGGGAGATCAGCTCAGTGCTTTGTGACCACCTAGAGGGGTGGGATAGGGAGAGTGGGAGGGAGATGCAAGAGGGAGGGGATATGGGGATATATGTATACATAGAGCTATTCACTTTGTTATACCAGCAACTAACACAATAATGTAAAGCAATTATACTCCAATAAAGATGCTTAAAAAAATGTTGGCAATGATTTCACAACATTTTAGGAACATGGTTTGGTAGGACCAAATTTTGATTTGATCAGTGGGTCACAAGTTCAATCTTGTCTCTTTAATTGCAATGCAAGTTCCTTGTGAGGAACTGCTAAAACAGATTTCATTTACATCTCTCACAGTGCTAGGCACAAACCAAGTACTCAGAGATTTTTTGCTCAGCCGTGAAGCTGCTCATGAGTATTATTCTATATTTAGATTTCAATTCCTTTTGGCAAACATTTATCTGGCAAGTGTGGGCTTTTACAGAATCACAGTATCTGTGAACTTATCGCTGAATCAAATGGATTCTCTGAATTTATTAAAGAGAACAATGGGGCCTACGACACAGAAAGTATTCATTAAAAGTTTCTTGTTTTTTTTAAATAAATTTATTTATTTTATTTTATTATTATCATAATTTTTCTGGCTGCACTGGGTCTTTGTTGCTGCAGGCGGGCTTTCTCTAGTTGCAGCGAGATGGGTCTAACTCTTCGTTGCAGTGTGCGGTCTTCTCATTGTGGTAGCTTCTCTTGTTGTGGAACATGGGCTCTAGATGCACAGGCTTCAGTAGTTGTGGCACACGGGCTCTAGAGCGCAGGCTCAGTAGTTGTGGCACACGGGCTTAGTTGCTCCGTGGCATGTGGGATCTTCCTGGACCAGGGCTTGAACTCGTGTCCCCTGCATTGGCAGGCAGACTCTTAACCATTGCGCCACCAGGGAAGGCCAAGTTTCTTGTTTTTATTCCATTCATATTTCCTGAGTATCAGATTAATATCCTTGGTCTAGGTTATACCTTGATGCACATTATAATCACTGGCCATAGCTTAAAAAAAAAAAAAAATCCATGCCCCGCCCCTAGAAGCTCCATTTTAATTGACCTACAGAAGGGTCCTGGCACTGGTATGTGTGTATATATGTATATACATATATGTGTATGTACGTGTGTGTGTATATACGTATACTCACCAAGTGATTTTTTTTTGGCTGGGCCACAAGCTTGTGGGATCAAACCTGGGCCCCTTGCAGTGGAAGCCCAGAGTTCTAACCACTGGACTGCCAGGGAATTCCCCACCAAGTGATTTTTAATGTGTAGCCAGACTAGAGGATCACTGGTCTAGGTTCTGGGAATCAGAACTCATAGGACCAGATTATCTCAGATCTTACTGCCAGAAGTTATCTCATGAGTTATTTGGCCCAGTTTCATGCACTTAAGTCACTATTTTCCTAAAACTACCATCATATCTGATTTGACGACTATATTACCAATATACTCCACTGCAATTCTATTTGAGAAGAGAGGAAGAAAGCTGAAATGTCAGGGAGATATTCAAGTGCTTGTTTCCCAAACATAATCAAGTGACTGTTCAAGTAATTTCTTTCTGTTTAAAAGAAATCTGTTACAGTAATAGTAGGTCCAAACTAATAACTCAGTGACTTCTGCCTCACTAACGAGTGGCATATTAACCACTTTTCCATGATAATTAAAAATGAATTATTTTTTTAACGTTTTTATTGGAGTATAATTGCTTTACAATGGTGTGTTAGTTTCTGCTTTATAACAAAGTGAATCAGTTATACATATACATATATCCCCATCTCTTCCCTCTGCATCTCCCTCCCTCCCACCCTCCCTATCCCACCCTTCTAGCTGGTCACAAAGCACCCAGCTGATCTCCCTGTGCTATGCGACTGCTTCCCACTAGCTATCTATTTTACGTTTGGTAGTGTATATATGTCCATGTCACTCTCTCACTTTGTCCCAGCTTACCCTTCCCCCTCCCAGTGTCCTCAAGTCCATTCTCTAGTAGGTCTGTGTCTTTATTCCCGTCTTGCCCCAGGTTCTTCATGACCTTTTTTTTTAGATTCCATATATATGTGTTAGCATACGGTATTTTTCTCTTTCTGACTTACTTCACTCTGTATGACAGACTCTAGGTACATCCACCTCACTACAAATAACTCAATTTTGTTCCTTTTTATGGCTGAGTAATATTCCATTATATATGTGTGCTACATCTTCTTTATCCATTCATCTGTCCATGGACACTTAGGTTGCTTCCATGTTCTGGCTATTGTAAATAGAGCTGCAATGAACATTGTGGTACATGACTAAAAATATGGAACGCTTCACGAATTTGCGTGTCATCCTCGCACAGGGGTCATGGTAATCTTCTCTGTATCATTCCAATTTTAGTACATGTGCTGCCGAAGCGAGCACAAAAATGAATTATTTTTTAAAAAGAGAGAACACACACACACATAGTAAAAATGAGAAAGGTATAAAAGTACACAGTAAAGTTTACCTGCCATTCCTGTCCTTGGGCCATCAAGTCTGCCTCCCTGAAGGCAGCTACTCTTATGGGTTTCCTGGGTATCTTTCCAGAGACATTATAAAGTTATTTTTTATTTTCATATTTTGGCTTCCTAATCTTTTTTTTTTTTTTTTTGCGGTACACGGGCCTCTCACTGTTGTGGCCTCTCCCGTTGCGGAGCACAGGCTCCGGGTGTGCAGGCTCAATGGCCATGGCTCACGGGCCCAGCCGCTCTGCGGCGTGTGGGAGCTTCCCGGACCGGGGCACGAACCCGTGTCCCCTGCATCGGCAGGAGGACTCTCAACCACTGCGCCACCAGGGAAGCCCCTGTCACTCTTTTTTTGACTGAGCCTTCAATATTTCCTTAAGAGCAAAGGTGCTAAGGTTAGAGGGGGTAAAGAACGATCCACTGTGAGAGTGTTAGAACTTGAAAGGATCTCAGAGATCATCCTGCCTTCTGCTATTCCAAGTGTGGCTCCTGGATTAACAGGGACTTCACCTGGGGGCTTGTCAGAAATGCAGAATCTCAGACCTCACCTAGACATCCTGAAGCAGATGTTTTATCTTCACCAAATCACCAGGTGATTCGTGTGCAGTTTTAAGTTTGAGAATCATTGCTCTGATCTGACATCCTCCTTCTCAAATCAAGGAAGTGTGGGCCAACAAGGAGCCAGTAGAGAGCTGATACGACAAATCAGGTCTCCTAACAGCCTTGTCAAGTGCATTTTCTGAAATGCCTAAATTCTGGCCAGATAATCTGGTGCAGTGTTTTAATGCATTTTATTAACTATGAGCTTTGGAGTCAGACACAGCACGGTTCAAATGCTAGCATTACGAATGGAACAGAGTAGGAGCTCAATAATGGTGATTATACTTCCTGTTATTACCATTATCTTTAAAAAATAAAGAATTTTTCAGAGCAGTTTTAGGTTCACAGCCAAACTAAGCAGAGTTCCCATTTACTCCCGTCCCCCACTATCGCTATTCGCACACATTAACAAGTGAATTACTAGCATTTGTCATTGCACTTTGCACTTGATTAAAACCTCAAAGCAATGTTTCGACAGCCTTTAACGAATCATTTACAGATTCTATGTCTGACTTAACAGAAAGACTATTAAAAAAATTTTTAAATATATCCTGTTCTTTTCTCAGAATGCTGTTTTACTCTGGCAGTCAGGGAGGGAGTTTATCAGGCAGCCTAATAAAATGCAGGGACTAAAACAGGGAGGCTAAGGTCCTGGCAGGTTCCGTTTTCTTTCCACTGGATCTTATGTTGGAACACAGCAGCAGGTTCTGAGGAAAAAACGTTGGGAGGTAGGAGCTAAATCGGAAACTAGGCCTTTTTATCAGAGAGCTCAGCTGGTGTCCAAAATCCCAGCCTGAGCCGGGAGCAGGGAAATCAGAACGAATGGTTGCAGGTACTTTCTGGAACTTGGGGTTTGGCGCCTTGTAAGCTCGGGTTCCGAAGAACCGCAAGGGAAAGGTGCCGATTTTGCCCTGCACAACAGAACTTAGCGTGAGACTGGAAGGAAAAGGGAGAAGCAGGAGGAGAGCTGCACATCTGAGAACGACTCTGGCAGCTGGCCGCGCAGAGCTCACCTATGGGCTGCCTAATTTCTGTCCTCGTTCGGAGCTTCTAGGGCTTGTAAACTCTTACCTTCCAGCCTTTTTCCTTTTCTTTTGAGCAGAGTTAGCTTTCTTCTTCCCACTTAAAGCCTACGACCTGTGACGTTAAAAAAAAAAAAGCACTTCCGGAGGGACGTTTCCTGGAGACCGGAAGTAACTGGGCTGTCTCCTGTCGCTCCTTTATACGCAGTTTTCGCGATGCCTTGTGGGAGTTGTAGGCCAGGGGCCGAGGAGACTGGGCGGTTTTTCTGGTCCTGAGGTTGGGGCCCTGACGCTGCGCGTCTTGAGGTGCAAAGAACTTCAGCGATGTTAAAAAGTTCTATGAAATTTCTATGCTATATTTTGTACTATGTATTTTTAAAGCGTTTTTTTTAAAACCAGCATTTGTAAGTTAAATTATATTTGCTCTTTTAAAAAACATACCAAAAAAGCATAAAGAAGAAAACAAAATTGGTGAGATGACTATATTGACTTCGTACAAACAGTTCAGAAAGATGTTAACTGAAGCTAAAAGCCTTTCTTCTGTACCTGCCCAGCTCCCTCTCTGAAAAGGAATCCACATATATGATTTTTAAAGAAAAAAATCAGGTGCAAATGTACATACAGTTGACCCTTGAACAAAACGGATTTGAAATGCAGGGGTCCACTTTTACAGGGATTTTTTTTTTCAATAAATATATGAATTATGAAAAACTGCCCAGAAGAGATAATGCTATCATACTCTTCTCAACCTTCCTTTTTCATGTGATAATCCATCATAGAGATCTCTCCATACTGCACAAAAAGAGTTATCTTACTCTTTTTTTAATGGCTTTATAGTAGTAGTTCATAACACAAATACCGTACTTTATTCATCCACTGATCTCTTCTTCTCCATCCCATTGAGGGACATTTTGGTTGTTTCCAATTTTTTTCTGTTGCAAAGAATTTTGCAATGGCCTCCTTGAACATATTTTGGTGTACATCACAGGGTAAATTTGTAGAGAAAAATTGTCCAGTCAACAAGATATAAGTTTTATAAAAGTCGATAAATACCACCAAATTGCTAAATTGTACCAATTTACACTCATATCCGACAATGTATGAAGGTGTTTACTTTCTCACTTCTGCTCTAGCACCGGGTATTATCAAACTTTAGACATTTTGCTTCTCTGAGAGGTGAACAATTTATCTTCCTTTGAGTGATTAGCAGTTTCATAATTATGACTGAGGTTGAACTTATAGTTATATGTTTATTGGTTATTTATGTTTCTGAAAGTAGTCATATTCTTGACCCAATTTTCTGTTGGGTTGTTAATATTATTTTTTAATAAATTTATTTATTTATTTTTGGCTGCATTGGGTCTTCGTTGCTGCACGCGGGCTTTCCCTAGCTGTGGCGAGTGGGGGCTACTCTTAGTTGTGGTGCGCAGCTTCTCATTGTGGTGGCTTCTATTGTTGCAGAGCACGAGCTCTAGGTGCACAGGCTTCAGTAGTTGTGGTATGTGGTCTCTAGAGAGCAGGCTCAGTCGTTGTGGAACATGGGCTTAGTTGCTCCACGGTATGTGGGATCTTCCCGGACCAGGGCTCGAACCCGTGCCCCTGCATTGGCAGGTGGATTCTTAACCACTGTACCACCAAGGAAGTCCTGTTAATCTTTTACTTACTGATTTGTTTGCACTTTTTTTAAACTGGGGAAGTCAGCCTTTTGTCTGTTACGGGAATTGTGAAATTTTTTTCCTTGTACATTATTTATCTCCTGATTTTGCTTTTGTATTTTTATGCCACACACATGTGCTTAATGTTTTTTTAGAGAAAATCCTTTATTATTATTATTTTAAAATATTTATTTATTTATTTAGCTGTGTCAGGTCTTAGTTGCGGCACACGCGATCTTTTGTTGCGGCGCATGGTCTCTCTGGTTGTGGCGCATGGGCTCTACAGTGTGTGGTCTTAGTTGCTCTTTGGCATGTGGGGTATTAATACGACCAGGGATCGAACCCACGTCCCCTGCATTGGGAGGGGGATTCTTAACCACTGGATCACCAGGGAAGTTCTTTTTCTCTTTCTTTTAATGTAAGAAGTGGATTTATTTAGAGAGAAACACTCCACAGAGAGAGTGTAGGCCATCTCAGAAGGTGAGAGGCCCACATGTGCTTAATTTTTGCATAGTCATGTTTATTAATTTTTTTTCTATGGCTTCTGAGTTATTTGGTTATGTATAATTTATTTTGATATAAGGAGGAATGGCTGTAGCTTTATCATTTATCATTTCTTCAAAATACTAGACAGTGATCCCAACATGATTTTTATTACCTTTACCATTAGAGGGAAAAACCCAGGGAACATTAAAAATACACCCTATCATAAGGTGCTGCAACAAGTTTAAATTTTTTAAATTAATTAATTATTTATTTTTGGCTGCGTTGGGCCTTCGTTTCTGCACGTGGGCTTTCTCTAGTTGTGGGGAGCGGGGGCTTCTCTTGTTGCAGAGCACGGGCTCTAGGTGCGTGGGCTTCAGTAGTTGCAGCACGCGGGCTTCAGTAGTTGTGGCTCGTGGGCTCTAGAGCACAGGCTCAGTAGTCGTGGTGCATGGGCTTAGTTGCTCTGAGGCATGTGGTATCTTCCTGGACCAGGGATCGAACCCGTGTCCCCTGCATTGCCAGGCGTATTCTTAACCACTGCACCACCAGGGAAGTCCTGCAGCAAGTTTAAAGGTTAGTTTTGGGGAAAAGAGTAGAAATAAATAAGTGCACTCTACTTTTCTCAAAACACATGCTTACCTATATTAAATAATACTCCAAAAAGGTGCTAATATTTATTAAAATAAGTAATGAAGACTTTTCTAATCAATATACAACTTAAAAAAGAGAATAAATTGTGAAAATGATTTAAAAGATTAAAATGATTGAAGAATTCCCAAATTGAGGAAGATTTATGTATGTTCAAATATAAAGCAAAGTTTTTCCCCAGATCATCCTTTAGAAAAACATGTAGATGCCTCATACTTGTAACCTTACAAAGTTTCTCATACAATGGAAGAATAGCACTCTTCTTAAATTAATACGGTTTTTCATAATATAGTATTTTAAATATGTATGTTTAAGTAAATTTAAAAAGTTGAATATTACATGTCATTTGATCATTTTATATATAACTAAATAATGAAATTTAAGTATTACATGTAGGCATTTGACTATTTTATATATAATATATATACTATATTCATATGTAATATGTACAAATATGGCCCTAAACTCATTTTTTGTTTTTGTTTTTGCATTGTCTCATTGGTGAAACTTAGACTTGGCTTTTATTCAGGCCTGGATGATGTATTCTTGCCATTTTGTTATTGTTTGATCAAGGCTTTAGTGCGGATACAGCAGTGCAATATATTAAACTTAAAAGAAGTTCTGAAGTAGAAACATCATTTAGAAAAATGGTGAAAAATACAAGAAGAAATAGCTACATGTTTTACCATATTTGCCTCTAGGCAGAGGGAGGTATGAGGCAAGTCTTCCACTTTTTTTGTTAAAAACTTGGAATAGTATGTCCTTTAAAAACCCAAAACTCATGAGGATGTACAACACTGATGTAAATAAAAATTAATTTGAAAACAGGAATGTGAAGTTTGTGTTAGTTTTTATAATAAGAAAAACATGAGGATGTTTGGTTGGGCACTTCCTTTTAAGATTTTCTTTTTCTCTGATTATAAAATCACACTGTAAGCATTTTCATCAAGGGCTTATCAAATTCAACGTTTTATGTAAATATATATAAATATATATTTAAATATATATAATTAAGTTATATGTAACATACAATAATACATTAGTTTCAAGTGTACAACATAGTGATTCAATTTTTTTTTTTTCCCGTACCACATGGCTTGCGGCATCTCAGTTCCCCAACCCAGGGATTGAACCTGGGCCAAGGCACTGAAAACACTGAATTCTAACCACTAGACCACCAGGGAACTCCCATGATTCGATATACATATACATATTTTTAAACACCAGGTGCTACTATTTTATTTTTTTAATGTTTATTTATTTATTTTTATTTGGTTGCGCCGAGTCTTAGTTGCAGCACGTGTGTTCCTTAGTTGCAGCTTGGGAGCTCCTTAGTTGTGGCAGGCAAACTATTAGTTGCGGCATGCATGTGGGATCTAGTTCCTTGACCAGGGATCAAACCTAGGCTCCCTGCATTGGGAGAATGGAGTCCTACCTACTGCACCACCAGAGAAGTCCCTCGATATTTTTATACATTATAAAATAATCACCACAATAAGTCCAGTTACCATCCATTACCATGCAAAGTTGTTACAATTTATATTTTTATTTGGGGGATGTGATCTTGTAAGTAAGCCAGTCAGTACTATTATTAAAAAATAACAAAACCTCAAAGGCTTAAAACAAGTTGAGAAGGAGAGTTTTACTGAATTCTGATAGTGACAATAAATGTGGAGATATCAAAATGAGGAAAATAACCAGTAATGCTGTGTAAACCTGTAACATCACAATATAAAGGACAACTTCAACTGGGTGCTTATTGAATTGTGAGCTCTTTCTCTTTAATCCTTACCTGTATCCCAAGGGGCGCTGTGAACTGGGGACACTAAGGAGGGAGGAGCCATTCAGAGCCAAGGTGTCAGATATGTAAGCCACAGTTTAGTAAATAATATGATAGATAATACAATATGATGCAGGTGTAGTCTATTACTAGAATTGCCTAATTCCAGATTTTTGAGGAAAGGAATGAAACCTTTAGTTGATTTTATTCTGTCACATACATTATGCCTACATGGAATAATAACTTTGGTAAAACTCAGTTACAAGATGTAGGGGGAGCAAAGGAAATTATCAGAATTCTTTATTTTTTTAAAGAAGCAAAAACTACAGGTACTTTGTGAGTATATATTCAATAGGCTCTCAGTAAATCCCTACTGACTTACACATGTTAAGTTTCTTTTCTAAAACATGTGCCAACATGAGTGAAAGACCATAAGAACAAGAGGATTCAGTGCAGTATTCTCTGTAACAGCCGAAGATTGGAAGTGTCTGACACTAAGGAACTGAGATACACACACACACATATATATATGTAAATATATTTGTAAATGCAATGACTGCAAAAATGAAACTCTGT